TGAAGCCTGCTGGAAAAGTCCGGGATCGCGGTCGGCTTTATACTGGGATACGAACTTTCGTATTTAGGTCAGAGACCTAGACTGACGAAAACTTGAAATTAATTGATGCAAGCAGACGGGAAAATCGCGATGTGCGAGGGAAAATGCCAGCGGCGGAGAAGAACAAGCGGCAAAGTTTCTTAATTATTGACGCTCCTCCGCATTTTGTTTCTATTCCTTTTTAGAATTTTTAACTTATTTCTAAGTTGCATAAAACAATTTTCTAACGGATTATTGCTTTTATTAACGACATTACAAAACTTATGTAAACATAAGAGGAGAACGAATTAGAAATGGACTAAAACACGATTTAATCAACACGTACGCACATAAGAGTATTTTTCCTTTTATATTATTGAATATAGGTAATATAAAAAACTTACTTTGCAATATATTTAATATTTACTGATAGAGATTAAGTTTTAATTGTCTTAATGTAAACACAATACACACACAGTGTTTAAATACTTAAATTATTTAAATTCAGCATATCTTTGTGCTTTTAATTCTATTAGTTCGAAGCAGCTAGTTGCGAGCCGATGGATTATTTACGTTCCAAATATCCTATTGTCGAACTGCAATTCGATTTGGACATAAAGTTAACTTTACAATCTGTCCATTAATCTTAGCTGTTGATTTGAAGTCGGTGAATGTGATCTATGCAACGTCAACCATTCCTCCGGGATGAAGGATCCCTATTGCAGCTTTCGCGCGTGTATATTTTCGAACTTTTATTTGTGCACGAAGTTACGAAAACTTTTTTTGATACATAGGGAGCAACGCATAATTTGAATTATTTACAAATATCAAAACGAAAAATACATGAAGTACTAGATAGCGATACGTAACAAACAAGTGAAAAGTTTTCAACTCATACATTTTTGCGCATATAAAGTTAAAACCAGCCTCTATTTATGGCATTCCGAGAATGAAATTAATTGTCTTTGTTCAGTATTTAATTCCGAGTTAGCTGTAAATTAAGTGTATATTTTATTACGCAGGAAATGAATATTATCGAATTGACAATGTAGAAACAGCGTCAAAAAGCAGTAATTAAAATTATATAATTATATTTTATATAATCTTATAATATTTTAACAGCCATAATTGATATGCAAAATATAATTAACAATTTATTAAATAAACTCATAAAATAACTTTCTGCATAATTTTAATTTAATTTAATTTTAATTTTATATAATTAAAAATTAATTGAGTGTAATAACTGAAGTGTAAGTGATTTGTATTAATTACAGCAGAAGGTACGCTTGTTTAAGTTCTTGAAGTAATAAATTATCGTGAAGCAATAAATCATTGTCGACGTGAACTATACGATTTTATGTATACATTTTATGCACAGTGCGAAATGATTTGAGTAAATCACATTTGCTGACAGTGCATATTTAATGTTGTAACTTGAGTCAAAGTGTAGTCAAAGATCTACGATCACGCTATTGCTGTCAAATAACTGACAAAACCGGAATTCTCATGGCAGCTCGACATCGCATGGCAAGTGTTCTTGACACTAGATGAGCATTATTCTCGCGTAAATCAGTTGCACCTACGCACCTGGTTCATTTAAATTCATTATTATATCAATCTGTTATTTAATTTTTCAAATTCCACAGTTAAAAAATTATGTATGTATATATGTATGTAGAAATTATACGATACACATATGTTTGTGTACGTATGTAAAACGTTGATATAAAGCATAATTAATTGCAATTCTTTTTGTACAAAAGTAGAACATTGCCAAAGTATCGTTTACTTATATACGTATACTAAAGTTGCAAAAGATAGACGATAACTTTTGAAGTTTGATATGGACGCCAATATAGGTAAATCAATTCACGTACGCTTGATTTTTCACGTAAGCAGTCGCGCATGTTTCTATATACAGAATAGTAGGAATATTTAAAGTCTATGAGGATATACGGGTGCATTTCGAAACAGCATGAACATATTATGGAACATAGACATGGATCTGCAGCGATTTTACTTCACAAACTTAGGTTTTCGATGTACTAGTGGTATGATGAATGTGGGCAAATATATGAAGATGCACTGATGTACGTATGTGCACGTACTATGTGCTTTATACATTTGAACAAAAAGTAGAACATAGAATATGTGGAAAAGAGACCACGATATAAAAACAATAATTTTACGTTTAGATATAACAAATTGTAAAGTACGACACTCCATACTAGATATTTTCTCATTTTATAAGCCATGTGTCTTAGACATACCTAAGGTAATTGTATTTATTCTTTTTGATATACGTGTACATACAAAGAAATACAATAGTAAAAAGTTCTAGTACGAAAGAAATAGCAAATATATAATTACATTTAAAATATTGTCCGATTGAGAGGGAAATAAGGGGGCGAGGGAAGGAGAGAGGAAAATGTAGTTAGTCAGGGTAGGGCAAAGCGAGAAAAACTTTTATTATTTAATCATCGTAAGTAAATGATGATTTAGCTGTCATAATAGAGAACTTTACGTTTATGTAATTATATTTATTGCTGTTAAACTATATACACGGTTTCGGATTCGAAACGGAGTTCGCGCAATAACGATTTCGGCGCTTTTTTTTCACTGTACCGTTCGAGAACTACTGTCCGTCGGCGATCGTTACATTTCAATATCTCAAAACACTAGAGGACACAGAGAAGTGCGAAAATAACGGAGACCGCTGACTCGGCAATTACGCATACCCAAACAAGCCAGCGTACGCTAACAGCTTTTGTCTTGGATTAAAATATTACTTTTATCTTACTTTTATATTAGAATTTATGTATACTATTTACATAAAAGAATTTATGTATATATATATCAATTTATATTTTTATGTATCGTATAATCTTTATTATACTTGTTATGATTTATTTCTTTTAAAGATTAAATATTTAGATATTGCGCGATTACACAATTAAAAGATTATATAAAAAAAATATATTTTAATCGTTAAAAGATTTAATTAAAAGATCAAAAAGTTTGAAAATATTTAATTGATTACATGTAAATTTTGTATTTTATACGCTAATACCTTTTATATTTTGTACTATAGCTTTCGATATCATTTTTCAAAGAGGATAAAGGCAGTAAACCTGCTAAAAATTGTTTTAATACTCGAATTAAAAGTCGGTACAGAAATGTTAAAACGACTTATAAGCAAAAGTGTTATCCCGTCATTACTTCACTTACAAAAGTAATCTTATTATTAAATATAAAGCACGAATGTACAACATTGTTGATTATTCACTATAAGCTGAGGAAAGTAAAGGAATTTTCAGCACTTTACTGTTGCTAATATTTTATCGGTTAGCTGCAAGCCGATGAGAACTTTTCATCGCCGCCATTTCCTGAGAACTAACTTTCTGGCAGTGAAAGATGGTTCTGTTCGTAGAAAATACGATGATCACGAGACGCTTGGGAAATCGAGGAAACAATTTTCTGCTTTTTTGGTGTAAAATAAACCATAGAATAGAATAATCGGCGCAATTAAATTTTCCGCGTGTCATTAAAGTATTTTTTAAGTTTGGGTTACGGGCTGGAGTTAAAAATCTTGATTAGTAGTTTAATAGCTCTTATTAAATAAAATATAAATGAAATAGAACCCAAATGAAATTATAAGTCTGGTTAATAATTAAGCAATGATATATTTTTACTAAACATCTGAATCATGTGACTTGAAAAATATTCAATTAACAGGTTTTTAATGTTTGCCTATGGGCTAAAGAAAAATTACTCTCCTTTTTACGCGAAGAAAATTGACAATAACATAATACTTTCTAAATTAAATGAATGTTTATAATATATTGATTATTAAGGGCGAAAATCCACGACGTGGGTGCATCGAGAGACCTCCGGTGCATCTTGAAATTGTGTATTTTCAGATAAGTTGGATCGGATGCAAAGTTCGTGCAAAAATATGCGGAAACTGGATAGACATGCAAACTTTATTATTAGTAACAACGGGCACATTAACGAAGCGATGTGAAGTTGATAGGATCGGAATATTTTCCTTTTCCTCGGAAAGTTAACGGCTATTTGTGATCGAGACCGTCAAGAAGCGAAAACTAAAAGTTTGCTTCTCCAAAGTCTGAAAGAGAATCAAGACAGCTCAATCAAAAGATGTTTAGAGGAGTGAAGGATCAAAGTCAGATTATCGCCATATATAACGTTTGGAAGAATTTACATATAGCCACGGTGTTTTCAATCAATATCGAGATAATCAAAAGTCGACATTTATAAACATATTAGAAATATATCGCACAGATATAGACAGAAGCGTATATACACGATGTCTTAAGCCGAGAAGGGATGAGAACTGTAGGAAGAACAAACTGTTTTAGACCGCCATCCTAAAAAGTACTCTTATAACAGACAAAGTGAGATTGAAGAAAAGAGGATAGCTCCCCCCTTCCGTGTGTAACGACATTGTTCGAAACACCAAAGTGTTTACGGAAGAGTTGCGTAGAAAAACAGGAAGGAGAAACGCTTCACCACTGCAATTTCGTTTTGTCGTAGAAAGGCAAAGCGAGCGACTCAACAACTAATAGAATAGCAGCAAGAAATATTGGTAGATTTGACGACTCTTTCTCATTTCTTATTAAATAACATCGTATGTGAAGGAATACCATCAATTACCTCATAATCATTATTCTATGAGGCACAATAAACTAGAATATATAATTCTTAAAGAATTGATAACTACCTCCCTCCTATATTAAGCGATAGACAAATATCTAAAACAAATTTTAAAAAGTCCCAAATTTGTCGAAAGAAAAAAATTCCCAGAAAACTGGACACACCGGTAGCAAGATTAAGCAAAGTGAATGTTCATATGTCTCGAGGTGAATTGACACAAATAAAAAAGCATAAAGACTGCAGTGGCAGCGTTCGAGCTAGCGGTTAAATCTTTTCGACAACGTCGCTCACTAAGTCGTCACAGTGTGCGGATTAGGGCGAATCCTCGGCTACATCGGCGGACGACCGTCGGTGGGGGCCACCAACATGTCGCAGTCCGGGTCAGGTGGACTGAGCGATGCTCAAGGACAGAGCCAAGCTGGACAAACAACGGATAATCAACAGACAACTTGCCAGAACGGTCGTGCCGAGCCACTCGCTGACACGACGAAGCAGGATCTATCCAACGGATTTGAGAATCGAACGATGGATTACGAAAGATTTACCCAAGAAAGGACACAACATACCTCGGGGCAAGTTCAGGATCAGCAGCCGCAGTCGGTTTCGCAGCAACAACAACTTGCTCATCCGATAGCGCAGTATCCGTCGGGAAGAAGGCAATCCGTAGGATTACCGGAAGATAAACACCCTTCAACGGGACAACTACCACCCCCGCAATACGGTCAAGACAAAAGCAACGCGGATAGAGCTCAGCACGTGTCTCAGACCAGCACTCAGACGGTACCGGTACAAGTGCAGCCACAATTCGCGCCCGATTACGATCAGAATCAGTATCCGCAGATACGAGGACAGTTTGAGGTCAGGTCACAGATCTACCCACAAACGCAATATTCCGATAGAGCTGGCTATGTGACGAGAGACGTTACTTATCGCGACCCGAATCTCTATGGTCAGAGCGGTACGACTAATCCGATGTTCACAGGACAGGGTCAATACGTAACGGTTCAACATGGCTCACAGATACCTTCGCAATCCGCCAGCCCGCAGCCACCTTACTATTCGGGTGTAGTCGTGCCATCGGCTGGTTACGCTCAATTCGGTACTCAGCCGCAATATCCTTACAGCCAATACCCGCAAACGGTCATGAACGCCGTACCCTATAATCCGCATGCCGGTATCTACCCAGCTCAGCAATACCCCGGTCAACAGTCGCCGAATCCGCAGAGATTTTCGCAAGACATCAGTCAGTATCAGACGCAACCGATCATTCAGCCGATAGCTCAGAATGTAACCCACGGAATCGCTATTCAAACGGAGCGGCCTTGCCGAGGACCGAAGCCGATGGTGCCGCCACGTGGCAATTCGAAAATCACCACTCACGATCCCGGACACAGAAAATCGGCCAGCGTCGACGTGCCAGCGTTGCAGAAGGCAAAATATGAGTCGAACCCGGCTGCTCAACAAGACTCGATTCATCGCAGCGATGGTGCTATTATTATGACGGGCGCACCAATCGGTCCGGACGGCTCGGATAGAAGATATTTAACTACGATTAATCAAAATCCTAGAACGAGACAGGACGGTTTGTACGTGGACGCTAACGGTGATCAGTCGGGCAGAGAGAAAATGGTCGACACAATCGCCACCGAATGTGGTTTATACGTGTCCAGGTCAGAGCACAGGAAATCCGTATCCGTCGATGTGACTACCAGCTTCCAAAGACGTAACGATACGATAACGTTTACATTTCCTGGCGATGGAAATCAAGAGATTATGTCGGGACGGAAAACTACGACTGTGGTAGACACGAAGAGAGTGGAGACTAATCAAATGTTCCCTGCCGAGCAACGAAGACTTGACGCGAGTCTGCGTGTATCGCCCATGGCGTTTGATACGAGACAAGAAAATAGGAAGAGCATTGCGACCGATAGAAAACCCGAATGGGGTAACGTGAGTCCGAATCAAAGGAACGTCATCCCTCCCGAGAATAGACGCTCGGATTATTTCGAGGAGCATCGAAGATCACCCATGAATTTGGAAGGCAAGAGAATGGAGGATGTAAGGAGATCGCCTATGCCGTTTGTGCCGATTCGCGAAACGTCTGTTGATCGCGCCGGACAGAAAAGTCCGTCTTTCGTTAGTCAAAACTTCGAGAAGACTAGACAGGAGCTAGCAATCTGGGCGGAGCAACGTCAACGGCAAGAACACGAAAGAAACATGATACAAGGTCCGATATTCACGACAAGTCCTCGTTCACGTAACCCGTCGGAGGAAAGGAGAGACATCAGATCGATTCATCCGCCGGATGACCGTAAGGAGTCCAGAATGTCTCAATCGGCCTTTCAACCGCTTCCGAATATTAGTCAGAGCACTATAATGGAGCAACGCCGACACCTGAGACACGTTAGCGCCGATCTGACGAAACACATGGAACTTTCGAGGAAGGATTTCGACGAGCAACCCATCACAGGTTCCGTAGTGAATCTTGGCTCGGTAGTCAGTACCGCTTCGTCGCAGAGAGCCAGTCCAAATCTTTGTCATCAGTATCCAGCTCTCAGCGAGGCAAAACTGGACGCAAAGGCCGTGTTGACTGTGGTTACTGATTTTGGGGAAACGACCGCTAGCAAACAAGTCGACCAAATCGACCATATAATCCATAGTCATCGTAAAAGTCACAATTCTTCGTCTAATTTGCTCACTCACAGTAAGAGTCAAACGGAGAACCTGCAGAATACGTTGGAAAATCAGGGCGAGAAAACAGACTGTCTTCACGCTCAACAACAGCAGTTGCAGAATCAACAGAGTCTCGATTTAATCTCTGAAAAGCTGAGCCAGTTCGAGCGCCAGCAGAGCGATCTCCAAGCCAAGCTACAATGTCTTCAAAATCAGAATCAGATTCTGGACAAAGTGGCGCAATTTCAGCACCAGCAGAGCGATTTCCAAGCTCGATTACAAAATTTGCAAAATCAAAGTCAAATAAATGACAAAACTCATAAGATAGCCGGCGATTTCACGCAACTTCCGTTGACGAGCGACACTCATCAGGTTCAAGCGAGCCCTCTTTCGAATCATCAGGAACAGTCGTCAGATAAATCCTGCTCGGCTCATCAACCAGTACACGGCCTTCATCAGACGCTGCTAACTACGTATCCGCAGAACACCGCCCTTCAAACTTGCCAATCGTCCGTGTGTGAGAAACTGACGTCTCGCGTGCAACACGACATTTCCGATCCGAATTCCATTCAGATACCGAACATGTCGCAAATGCCGTTACCATGCCTTCCGCAATTCGATCGTGCCGATGTGTCGCGTACTTCGTTTTCCCAGTTTCACCGACTTCAGTGCCAGATCGAGAGTCACGAGAGTGCTTCAGCGACGAGTGCCAGTCTACCTGCCAGTTCGTTCACCGGTACACTGAAGAAAATACCACCGGAGAAACCGCCACGGACGTCCTTGATAGTGCAGTCGCCAGAAGCCGAGGTAACATTTGAAAAAGAAACAAATTTTTCTATTTGTGTTAACTGTTCTCCTCGGTTACCGAACATTCTTTTAATGTTATATAGAAATACCATTTTCTATTTTTAATTGTAAAATAATTGCAGGCCTATATATTGATTATTTTACATTAACACTTTGCTGATTGAAATCGGAAATTCTAATTAAAGTGTAAATAATGATCCACTTTAACGTCCCGCTGTTAGACTCAAAGTCTTTGGACGAATTGTACAACGAAAGCTCCTTTTATCCAGAATGCTGGAGAATACGAGCATGCCTTATGGCCGAGGAGATTGCAGTGGGTTGATGGCGACGAATGGTGAAAGATAGAGATCTCCACTTGCAGTTTTTGTCGCAGCAGCCGAGTAGAATAAACTTGTTAGATATCAGACCTGATGTTGTCTTTGAAAACTTCGTTACGCGTCCTGTGTACCTTTTGCTCCATTTTCCGTATCTGGTTTGTATCTCGACGTTTCCGTCACAATTATAAGTCTCAACGCACCGGCATCGTCTGATATTACGTAACTTGGTCAATCGCAAAAATGTTTCGAATCATGATAGTCAGATTTCCACGTTTTATTCACAGGACGTATGTATAAATTATTTTTGTAAATTTTTAATGCCACAGTCTGTCGGTATAAGAGACAAAATTATCTTTTTCAAAAAACGAAAGAAAGTTGTTTAAAAATATTCTAGTGTAAACAAAATAGATGCGTGCGATGCAGTATATTGATAATAGCCATTATTAATAGTGCGATACATCTGTTCTCGATACATGATACTTGTGTGAAGATATTACTCGCTATTAAATATTTAATTACGAAGGAGGCTTCGATTGATTTTATTTATTTCGTTGCCGTAGAATAGTATTTTTTCTAGACAATCAATTAGAAAGAAATTGTATATTTAGAGAACAAATTATTTTTATCTTATAAATCCAAATATAATAAATAAATGGCAGTAAAATTAATTAGAATAATTAGTTATATAAATTATTTATTTGTTTGTATTATATTATATTACTAGCTGCATTATATTATAATATTTGAATAATGACACACGTATAATGACAATAGACGTTATAATACATCCATAAGTGCGTTCTCGGTTCAGGATGTGATTTAATTGTCTCTTTTATTTGTTCTTCTTTGCTGAGTGATAATTATTTGCAGAAGCCGCACAGAAATGATATACATATAGAGCACCGAGGACAATTTAATTTCTGGAATTACGTTATTTTAAGTAAAATCAGAATCTTTTTTAAATAAATATAGCAGTTTTTATTTTATCAAAATAATTTTCTATTTGTATAGAAAATTAAATAAATATGCCACTACAGTTAAATGTTGCGTGTACTAATATCTAATTATTAATAAAATTGGATTACGATGGCGAATTGAATTTATATGAAAATTTCGATATTTGCCTGGTCTTCAAAATGTATCTTTTACTTCAAATTGCAAGTCAGACAATGAGAAATTAAAAAGAATGTATATATTCGACTGCTGTTAACGATGTTAGCATATTACAAATTCATAAACACTAAATGAAATATCACTATCTTTTCTTCGTGGCTTTATCAAATAAATTTAAATAATTGCAAGAAATTACAATTTATATTTTAATACGCAATAACAATGTTTCGTTAATTTCCGTCATTTAATTGCTTATTTATAATGCAAACAAGTTTTATGAATATCTGAAATTCTAACTGTCCGCAAGTGGATACGTATTTTTCTCAGGTAATATCGAGGAGATATGTGTGTATCGAGGTGTTCTCTTTCTATCGTAACCTTACCATACCTTTCTGTCTAACATTCCGCTTCACCGTACTCTCCTTCTACGTGTAGGATGTCAGTGCTCCCTGCTTTCGACCAACGAATGGAAATTCTATACGGTTTGATACATTCATCTCTCGACCAAGCTCGATTCTATGAAAGCATCGTTATCGAGGGGTGGGCTTTTCAAAAATCGTTTCTTCCAGGAATTTATTTACACAGACTCGTTTCATTCGTTGACGTATAAATCTGGTTTTATCATTCGTCGAATAGCAGCTATATGCTTGTATTTTTACGAAATGTATTTTTACAAAATCGCATAAAATTGTACTAAAACATTCAATGCTAAAAAATTTATTATAAAAGTAGTCAACAAAGTTCTTCACACTTGTTTATCTTTACGCATTGAAATCATATAAACTAATGCAATTTTTAATGTTTAAAGAATAGTTTTTACTTTTTAAAGATAAAATTCGACGAAATTTACGTGTACATAAATTATTTTGCATGCGAGAGTGAAAGAGAAAATAAAGAGAAGATTTTCGGTGACAAAAAAATACTTTGCGTCAGGAACGTGATGATTTAAGGGACTCTAACCGACCCAAAATTAAAACGAATGAAATTGTCTTGCCACGCCCTAAACCTGTACTTTTTAAATTAAAGCTCAAAATTAAGCGGAGAAGTGTTATGAACGGTTCATCATGAATGAAGTATAAACAGTAATCTCATGTGTCGTGTACACATTGATGAAACGATGTTGCAGGAATAAAAAATAGTGTTTGAAGCGCAGAAGATAAAAGGGCGAAAAATCAACCGAAAACAGACAATGAACCCTCTGGACTTTCCCGTACTTGAAAACGAACCGCTTCGATACTCCCTTTATAACGTACTTCTCTTTACGACGGTATTATTCGGGACTTTATAAGCACCTACGAACTGGCCAACATGTTTTTCTCGGCTCGTGATTAAAAAAATTGGGGGCAAGCGCAGCGGATTGTTAAATTACATGACTTTAAAGTATGTCAGCCGCGTATAACAATTACAGCTGTGCGTCCGTACCCTAAAATACCTTTGTCCTGAAAATGCTGTTTCTCTTACAGAGAGCATAGAGTTGCGGTAAGCGAAAAACTACGCGGCGTGGAATCAAACAAGATCAACGCGCCCGATGGATTGTTGAAATTTCTCAAATTCGTACAAAACTCTCGGACTAACGGTCACTCAATAACCGGAATTTATCCTTGCAGCATGCGCTGCCATAGAGTTTCCTGACATTCTGGACTTGTGATGCGTGTCACTCGAAACGGACAGAAATTTCGGCGAGAGTCAAACTCTAGATACGCGTTTTCGTCATTTTCGCCAGCGCGTGTATAATATCCGTAAACTTCTTTCCGTAAAACTGCACCGTCCAATTTTTCTTTCTTTTGCGCGAACCGGTCTCGCTGTGCTTTTGTTTTACTGGCTCGCGATCGCTATACCAATTGGTTGCGGCGAGCTTTTACAATTCCGCAGTTACTTGCTAGCGGTGTTTTCACGAATTTCCGAGCGTAACTTTTCATCGCCACTTAGCACAGTGCTTATAAATTGAGACAAACGATCCTGGTGCCATTGGGTATTTACAAGGATCATCCTTGCGAGCGAGCGAGCGAGCGAGCGAGAGAGAGAGGGGGGAGGGGCAGAAAGAGAAGAGCACTTTTAATCCATATATCCGTGGCGAAACGTTTTAATTGACTGTTTATTTTATCCCGATCTCAGATTACAAAATCGAACGTTTTTGTGTACACGGATTAGCTTGGATTTCTTCTCTGCGCAATTTTACGAGTGGCCAACCAAATAATTTGAGCCCTCATCGTAATTGATGAGCAATCCGATACACGCGCCTTTATTTCTCGATTACTACCAGCTCTCTCTCTCGTTATCGTGGTGATTTTATCTGAAAAAATGTGTTTTAGGATCGGACACGCACACGCAATTGTAAATTGTAACCGGTGGCAATTCCGCGAGAAAATATTGTGGTCGTTACGCTGAAACTTTGCTCCTCATAACGCAATTTCAATGACCTCTTTGAAAGACTATCTTTGTAAAGCTGCAAAATCTCTAGTAGGATCAAGTCTCACGGAAACGTCCTGATTCAACACAGTTTTCGAAACAGAAAACATGAGTTTACGTTAATATGTACAAAATGTTCGTTAAGTAAAAGTATTACGGATGAGAGTTAAGCAGATTTAATGCGACGTATACAAGGATAAAACTTGACGTATTGTATGAAGTGGTAAAAGAGAAATTAATAATACCATGATACATTGCATGATATATCTAAGAACTTTTTATTTGATTTACGTTAATTATTTGATATTATTATAACGTATAGTCGGGATCTAAAGAAACCGCTTTATCAAGTTCTTGTCAGATGGATAAATGTATCTCTATCTCTGAATTTTATGACAATTTTTCTAAAACAAAATTAAACGAGAAAAGAACGGACTGATATTTTACTAAAAAAATTACTTATCGTTTCCTTAGCATAATTTCTTTTCTAAACAATTTATTTAACACAATGACTAGCGTACGTAATAGACTAAGATACAAAATTTACTTGGTTATTTCTATTTATTTATTCCTTAGAATTAGAAAGTTCAATTTGTCGCCATTTTTCTTTAACGATTCTTTTACCCACTATAAGACAAGTATTGGTATTTCACTGCAACTGACGTCTATACTCTGGTGCAACGAAAACTGAATAGCATTACTAATCGAAAATTCAGTAGGCAAATACGCCAAACGAATGAGTTGATTTTTGCTTATACGAATATTATCACAGTTGATGAAATGCAATTTAATTGTTATAGGTACAGCAATAACATAAAAGTTTTAAAGTAATAGTATATATTTGTTTGCTGTAAATTGAAAATTTAAATACTGGAGAATTGTAGCAAATTTCAGAATCGTATTGTCAGAAAATCGCTGAATGTAATATTATTGTTAATACTGTTACTATTATAATTGTTACAAATTATCATTATTGATACGATCAAACTGTTTCCGGATATTATGCTAAACAGGAAATAAAATACGCGACCGCGAGTTAATTTATTCGTATATTTGAAAACATACATGCAGATTGACACATTATATTCAACGAGTCGCGGATGTTTTACAACCATCACGTGGCAATATACATAATATCATGTTTTTTGTCAGTCATGTATT